TGATGCTGCCTGGCCTGCTGTGTTCATCCAGCTCCACACCTTGTTATCTCAGACTCCAGCATCGGCAGTTCCTACTATCTCTGAGATTTATTAGGATGTTGCCTGGGCTGGAAAGTTTCAGATACGAAGAGAGACCAGACAGATTGGGGTTGTTTTGCTTTGAGCAGAAGGGATTGAGAGGGGACATGATTAAGATGTATAAAATTACAAGGGGCATAAATTGGAAAGGCAGAAAGAAACTGTCTCCCTTAATGGAGGCATCAATGACAATGGGGCATAGATTTAAGATAAGGAATAGAAGGTTTAGAGGAAGTTGAGGAAAAGGTTTTTCACTCAGAGGGTGTTGTAACTCATTGTCTATAGGGGTGGGCAGAAACCTTCATAACATTTAAGAATATTTAGATGTGCACTTGGGATACCAAGCATACAAAGCAATAGGCCAAATGAGATTAGAATAATTAGGTGAGTATGCGGATGCGATAGTTTGAAGGGCCTTTTTCTGTGCTGTACGTCTCTATAAATCTACGAAAAAAAAAAATGAAAGAACTGCGGATGACCCTGCAGCCCTCCGGACTCAATATTGAGTTCAATAATTTTAGGGCCTAAACTCTCCCATGTCCCAACCCCCAACCCCACACACCAGGCCCTGTTACCACAGAGCCTGCCATTACACACTACCCATTATTAGTCACTAATAGTGCCCATTAACAGCTAATCATCCTCCCAGCCTGATCATTATCAACACTTTGTTTGTCCAACTGCTCGTCTCTCTCTTTAGGCTCTATCCTATCATTTACTCCTGACCCCATTCCCCCTCCCCCTTTTTTCTGCATATAAACTGACGTTTTCCCAGCTACTATCAGTTCTGAGGAAGAGTCACTGGACCCGAAACATTAACTCTGGTTTTTCCTTCACAGATGCTGCCAGACCTGCTGAGCTTTTCCAGCCACTTCTGTTTCGTTTCTATAAATCTATGACCTGTTTGTCACAGTTCTTGATTTTGACACCACTACTGCTCTGTTAAGCTATAATGCCTTCCCTTGAGCAGCAATACGATAACGGTTTTTCATAGTTCTTGCTAATCAGCTAAATGGCAGGAAGAATAGTATAGAAAAAAAATCTAATTCTTGGTTTCAAATGCAAGGATTCTAGAAAATAATTTTTAAATTAATTGCGAGAACATCAAAGGAGAATATTTAAAGATTACCTCTACTACATCTTTCTCAACAGACATTAACATCTCTTGCAAAGGTGATGAAGGAATGTTGGTATCATAATCCATCAGCAAGACTAACTGCCCTACGTATTAGAAAGACTTTGACCAAAATTGACAGCTCATTTGATAAGTTTAAAATGGACCGTTGATTATTCAGTTTCCTGAAGATTGTCTATTATCTGTGCATCTACAAATGGGAATATAATGGAAGAAAAATAGCTTTCTGAAATGCTTCTATACAATGTTCAGAAAGTGCTGGAAATACGCAGACTGTTGCTCAGAAACTGAAGATAACATGATTAACATTTCACGTCAGATCCTTGTCACGACTCATTTCAGTTTTATCCACCATATGATTATTTTTGGAACATCTTTTGCTTTAAGAAATTAAAATTGCAGAAGTACAAAGATAGAAAACTTGCAAGACTGTGTAAATAAAGCACATCCGTTTATCTGGTTAGTACGTAACCAGAAAGGAAACTGAAATTTTAAGAACTTCTCACAGAAGTAAAAATAAATTTGGGGGTATTGAAAGAAAATATTCTGTTGTTCTAAAATCTTGACAATGTCCACGTTTTGATTTAATATTTATATTCAAATGTCATAGTCATTGTGGCCTTTCATGATTTATTTTGCACTGGTGACTTCAGTTTTCCTTGTATGCACTACATGTTATTGTTTTAGGTGCATTAAGACCTTCTAACTAGCCAAATTATGAATTTTTATATGATATAGCATCTATCTGGTGGTAATTACATATTATAGGCAATCTCCACCTCGAACTAATTTCTTTAAATATTGGTAAATGCTACATGCACTGTTAACCCAAATGTTTTCACATCTACCTTTCCGAATTTGAGAGTTATTTATTGCAATAATGCCATTGTTTTTCATAATTATGAAAGGATACTGCAGTTTTTTTTTAATGGATAGATTATTGATCTTTTTCTGTTTCACAATGTTTACATTTAATGTGGTGAGTATTCTGCCTACAGCATTAGTTTATGAACTACAAAAACCTGTTTTTTTAAATTCTTGTATTTGTATATTGTAAATGCTTTCACAGAAGCAAAAATAATTCATCTACAAGTTGTGTAACCTTACATATCAGTGAAATGCTGTGTCACATTTTTTTGGAATGTGAAAACGTTTAGTGGTCCAAGGTAAAATGTACATTGTGAACTTTTACAGAGAATTAACTACTGTATTTGTGTTTTAATCTATATTTTATATTTGTATAATTTAAATAAAACATTTTATAAGTGCAGCCACGTGTTCTGTTTCAGTCGCGTGGGATCCATGGTGAGTTATCAAGTTTGATACAAAATTGGCTTGGTTGTAGAAGACAGAGGGTGGTTATGCAGGGGTGTTTTTTTGACTGGAGTTCTGTGACCTGTGGTGTTCCACAAGATCAGTGCTGGGACCTCCTTTGTTTGTAATACATCTACAAATGATTTAGATGAAAGTGTAGGTGGTCTGATTAAGTCTGCAAATGACTTGAAAATTGTGAGATGTTGCATTTTGGTAGGGCAAATCAGGGCAGGATTAATACACTTAAGGTCCTAGGGAGTGCTGCTGAACAAAGAGACCTTGGGTGCAGGTTCATATTTCCTTGAAATTGGAGTCACCGGTAAACAGGTAGTGAAGAAGGCGTTTGTTACGCTTGCCTTTATTGGTCAGTGCGTTGAGTATAGGAGTTGGGAGGTTCATATTGAAGTTGTACAGGACACTGGTTAGGCCATTTTTGGAATATGGCATTTAGTTCTGGTCTCCCTGCTGTAGGAAAGTTGTTGTGAAACTTGAAAGGGTTCAGAAAAGATTTACAAGGATGATGCCAGAGTTGGAGAGTTTGAGGTATAGGGAGAGGCTGAATAGGCTGGGGCTATTTTCCCTGCAATGTTAGAGGTTGAGGGGTGACCTTAACAGAAGTTTATAAAATCATGAGGGGTATTGATAGGGTAAATAGTCAAGGTCTTTTCCCCAGTATAGGGGAGTCCAAAACTAGAGGGCATAGGTTTTAAGGTGAGAGGGGAAAGATTTAAAAAGGACCTAAGGGGCAACTTTTTAACTCAGAGGGTGGTGCATGTATGGAATGAACCGCTAAAAGAAGTGGTGGAGGCTGGTACAATTGCAACATTTAAAAGGCATCTGGATGGGTATATGAGTAGGAAGGGTTTAGAGGGATATGGGCCAAATGCTAGGAAATGGGACTTGATTAATGTTGGCTATTTGGTCAGCCATGGATGAGTTGGACTGAAGGATTTGTTTCCATGATGTACATCTCCATGACTCCAAATAGCATGCTTGCCTTCATCGGTTGGGACATTGAGTATAACAAAGTTGGCAAGTCGTTTTGCAGCTGTATAAAACTTTATTTAGGCTACATTTGGGATAGTGTGTGTAGTTCTGGTCGCCAAACTATAGGAAGGGTGTGAAGGCTTTGCAGGCAGACGTTTACCAGGATGTTCCCTGGGGGTTGGAGTGTATTGGCTGCAAAAAGAGGTTGAATAGACATGAATTTGTTTTTGCTAAAGCGTCGGAGACTGAGGGGTGACTGGTACAAGTATATCAAATTATGAGGAAGTCAGAAGTCACATGACACCAGGATATGGTCCAACAGGTTTATTTGAACATGATGAAGGAGCAGCGCTCCGAAAGCTAGTGATTTCAAATAAAACTGTTGGACTATAACCTGGTGTCATGTGACTTCTGACTCTGTCCACCCCAGTCCAACTCTGGCATGTACACATCAAATTATGTGAGGCATGGCGTAGATACTTGGAGGGGGGATGGTAGAACAGGGGCATGAGCAAAGTTTAAAAGGCATTTTGACAGACACATGAACAGGCAGGGAATAGAGGGATACAGATTATGTATAGTTAGATGGGATGACATTATGGTCAACTCAGAGATAGTGGGGTGAAGGACCTATTCCTATGCTGTACTATTCAATGTATCTAGTATTTGTTTCTTTAATAGTATTCGTTACAGCTATTTCCCTAATAGTTTGGATTTTATGATTAGCAGTGAAGTGTAAGTGCTTATCAATGACTGAAGATTTGTGACGTCTGGAGTGAATATCTCCTGTCTTGATTGTCAGTTTCAACCTGGTGCCGAGACCAGGGAATCCCCAGCAGTCCAGTAACGATAATGTAATCGAGCTAGGTAAACAGTCAAACAGTCGATCACGTTGAAGTATTCTCTTCTCAATCAGGAAGTGAAATGCATTGGCTTTCTTTCATGAATTAAACATTTTACAGAAAATTAAATAACTTATTCAGATATGCACATTGGATTAAGATAGAAGCTGAGATGTGATTTTTAAACTATAATAGATATTTGTCAAATATAAGATTAGTAAGATGGGGGTTTATTAGTAATTATGAGCTTAGGAGACCATTTGAAAACTAAAGTACACCACCCTAAATTACCAAGTGAAACTCCCTTGAGGACTTCCTGGCCTGGCCAGGAAGTTCACCCCATTGCTGGAAGTGTCTGGGTGTTTCAGACTTTGTGTGTCATATTTTAAAGGCTACTTGGGCAGATCTTTACTCACGTCCAGCCTGTAGCATTGTTGGAGCCTGAGTTAGTCACTGCAAATGTCTCGGAGGAAACACAAACTGCTCCCAATATTCAGTGATCCCTTGTTAGTGATTGCCAGTGATTATGAAATCTTGGCCAGGTAAAATACCTGTTTATCAACACTTGAGTTTTCAATATTCCTACATATCCTGCCATAGGAATTTCATGTGCTACTCAGAATATCTCCTTACATGTGTCTTTGAAAGAAGGGAGGTTGTCTTCTCCAGGAACGGCAGTAGGATGCCCTCCCATCACACCCCAGTGCACTGGGTAAGGTACCAAGCATTCGAGTGCTAATGGCCTCACTGAAGGAGGTGGATCCAGTGCAGGAAGATCTTCCAAGCTGCAAGCTGTTCCAGTACAGTTACACTACTGGCATCTACCCGACAATGTGGAAAATTGCCCAGGTATGTCCTGTACACAAAAAGCAGGACAAATCCAACCCAGCCAATTACTGCCCCATCAGTCTACTCTTGATTATCAGTAAAGTGATGGAAGGTGTCATCAACAGCGCTATCAATCAGCACCTGCTCAGCAATAACCTGCTCAGTGACACTCAGTTTGGGTTCTGCCAGGGTCACTCAGCTCCTGACTTTATTGCAGCCTTGATTCAAACATGCACAAAAGAGCTGAATTCCAGAAGTGAGGTGAGAGTGACAGCCCATTACATCAAGGCTGCATTCGACCAAGTGTGACATCACGGAGCCCTGGAATCAATGGATATTAGGGGACAAACTCTATGCTGGTTGGAGTCATATCTGGCACATAGGAAGGTGGTTGTGGCTGTTGGAGATCAGTATCTCATCTCCAGGACGTCTATGCAGGAATTCCTCAGGGCAGTGTCAAGGTCCAATCATATTCAGCTGCATCATCAATGACCTACCTTCTATCATAATGTCAGAAGTGGAAATGTGTAATCATTGTTCGCCAATGTTCAGCACCATTTGCAACTCCTCATATACTGAAGCAGTCCATGTTGCAGGGTTACAGGAATAGGGTAGGGGCGTGGGTCTGGGTGGGAAGCTTTTTGGAGGGTCGGTGTAGACTCGATGGGCTGAGTGACCTGTTTCCACACTATAGGGGATTCTATGATTTTATGACTCTATGTTTAAATGCAACAAGATCTGGACAATATTCAAACTTGGGCCGACAAGTGGCAATAACATCTGTGCCACACTAATGCCAGGCTATGACTATCACCAATAAGAGACAATCTAACCACCGCCCATGACATTCAATGGTGTTACCATCACTGAATCTCCAAGTATCAACATCCTTAGGGTTATCATTGACCAGCAACTCAACTGGACTCATCACATAAATACAGTGGCTACAACAGCAAGTCAGAGGCGATGAATACTTCAGCATGGAACTCACCTCCTGACTTCCCAAAGCCAGTCCACCATCTAAAGGCACAAGTCAGGAGTGTGATTAAATACTCCTGACTTGCCTGGATGGGTGCAGCTCCAACAATATTCAAGAAGCTTTATGCCATCCAGGCCAAAGCAGCCTGCTTGATTGGCATTACATCCACATGCATCCAATTCCTCCACCACTGACACTCAGTAGCAGCAGTGTGTATTAACTACAAGATGCACTGCAGAAATTCACCAAAAATCACAGACAACACCTTCCAAACCCATGACCACTTCCATCTAGATGGACAAGGGCAGCAGATACATGGGAACACTACCTTCAAGTTCCACTCCAAGCCACTCACCAACTTGACTTAGAAATATATAACCATTCCTTCACCATCGCTGGGTCAAAATGCTGGAATTCCCTCCCTAAATACCTTGTGGATCAACCCATTAGCAGGTGGACTGCAGCAGTTCAAGAAAGCATCTCACCACCACCTTCTCAAGGGCAACCAAGGATAGGCAATAAATGCTGGCCAGCCAACGATGCCCACATTCTACAAATCAATAAAGAAAGGAAGAGGATGGGTGATCTCCAGTGAAGTAAGTGGTGCATCTACTCATGCAAGCTAACACTTGTGGGCAATGCCAATTGAAGTATGTACTGCACACGCATGTTGCAATGGACCTGCAAGTCTCAGCATATGGAGAAAATTTGCCTCTTCTGCAAGGCCTGACATGGCCATGAAAACTTATAAATCACTCTGCCAATGTGCTCCATCACCAGAGTCCTTCTGGTTTGATAAATATTGAGTTTTTCCCATTTCCTTACACGTATGATATATTTTACAGAACTGCACTAATCCTTATGAAATCTTGGCCAGGTAAAATGCAAATTTATCAACACTTGAGTTTTCAATGTTCCTACAGATTTTGTGCTACTCAGAATATCTCCTTACAAAATCTTGGCAGTACCATTATTTGATGAACATTCAATTCTCATTCCTCATCCACAGGTTTGTGAGGATGTCTCCCCTTCCTCATCAAGACTCAGTATTTAATAGAACAATGCTTAGGCTTAACTTCAGTGTTAGCTGCCTGCGCTAATGTGCATAACTCCAGATTGGCTTTCTGAGCTTCAATTGAAGAAGATGTCCTATCCGTAAAGAAAAATTCTCTGACTTTAGCATCTTCCTGTGGTATTACTTTGAACTCTGGTGATTGTATTTTCTTTAGCCGTTTCTCTGGTCTCTACACATGACAGAAAAACATTTGGAACTTATTTCTGTAACAGTTTCATCTTTTTAACCTTACTTGGACTTTTCTG